TAGGCAGTGTCGGACAATCGGCAGGACCACAGATATGGCCAGTGCAAAACGCCCGATCTCTGGGCCATAGTGACGATCTAATTGTACTTGCTCTCTGGCGAATGCAACAGGATGCCGCCAAATCGCCCGTCTCCTTCCCGCCTGCTGGTGCACTCCAAGTGAATCCCCAAGCCACGGCCGACCTGCTAAGGGCCATCTTGCGTGTTCAGGAGGCAGGTCTGCTGGACGACGAAGACGAGGAGAACATCATTAACCCAGGGATGCAGGGTGTCATTCTGCCGACAACGGAAACAGTGGAATTATTGCAGAGAGAAAGTCTCACACCAGAGGATCAATCGCATGAAAGGGAGATCAGGATAGGGAATGTCCGGATTATGGAGACAGGCCCATTGGGGGAAGACACCCACGAAACTGGCGTTGATGCCTCGCAGGAAGATGAGGAGGCCGCAGCTTACGCCTTCCTCCCACGGTGTACACAGCGCCGCCTAGAGCTGGCTTCCACTACAGGGCCACAGGTGCTAGTTACTTCGGATCAGGGTGGCGATTCGGACAGTCGAAACGAGCCGAGAGGAATCATAGTACCCAAGTTCTTTCAATTCTTAAAATGGTGGGCTGACAAATGGCCAAATGAGCAACAGCATCGCGCAAACATGGCTAGAGCACCTCCTATGTACTTACCTTAATAACAGCACTAGTCATCGAATGTGATACAAACAGAGCGAGGATAATTGACTGATCTGCGAGCAGATAAAGAAATGAGAAGCATCTCAAGCATTTTCTTTTTAATTTTACTTTGTGCAATTAATTATCGATACATAGAGTCGTGCAAATATATAGAACCTGGTTCGAGAGAACCATTTTCAGTATTGAATTGATTCTTAAAAAGTGGGGAAAACAAACGCAGGTGGTACAAATAATTAAGCCAACAAAAAAGCCGAGGCTTGAATATGTACACGAGTTATTTTTGGACAAATGATGAGATGTAGATCCGTCTGAGGTAAGCCCGCTATTTAGTCTGATCTGTCACCTCGGTCGAAGGGACAATATGTTCACTGTGAGAGGACCCATTCTGCAGAGCTTTTAGCATATCGCCATCCGTTTGCAAGTAAACTGGTATTATTCGTTTGGCATAGTAATCGCCATCTAGTTCTAGATTCTGTATTACATCATAAAGGAGATGAGCGCGGCCGACTCTAGTACCATGCTCACATGCGGCGTCTACGTGAGCGTAATGCACATGAAGACGATAGAATGTAGGTGGATAGTGAAAATAGGCCAAAATCTGATTTTCCTTTAAAGCACTTTCACCGGTGCGTGATAAACCTTGGTTAGGTGGTACAGCAGGCTTGGGACTCGCCTCGTCGTTAACACTTTCTTGCTCCATAACTGGGCGGACTTTGGCATAATGGTCAATTATGCGGGAACGACCTTCACACAGCATTCGCTTTAATAGTGGAATGTGTTCCGAACGGAGATCTCGGAGGCACGTGAGGCCCGGATGAGGTACCAGACCTAGAATGTGCATACTCTGCAGGAACCGTCCATCCCAGCGAAAATCTAGGACGAGTGTAAATCCAATGTTTGGATCCTGGTCGGAAAATATGATTCGGTCCGTTTCGGCCTTGCCGAGTAGGATGTTGTCAACCCATGCAAGATCCTTTGGCCTTTGACCAAGAAATGGTATAACTAAGCTATGATATTCCTCCGGAGTTTCGTCATGAATAATGCGATATGAGGATGAAAATCTAGAAAAGTGGTGTGG